GTGAGAATTAACCCTGTCCTAGCTGAACCCAGGACACACAGAGCACCAGCAAACGGCTTTGCCAGAGGAAGGTTTGCTCTGCCCCTGCTCGGGCTGCCAATAACTCTCCCAATGACTCACTGCTGCCAGCACAGGACACTCCTTTGCCTGTTTTTAAAACCCCAGAGTGGAAAATAACTGGGAGAGGAGTTACTGCCAAGTCAGAGCAGCAGAGATGCTGCAAATAGCACAAGTGTTCTGCCTCGGACAGTCGGGACGGCAGTGAAAAACACAGACCATGCGTTTCCCCAACAGAAACTGTGGCAGCCCTTGCAGCCCACACACCAGCATCGCCTGCGTAAGGCTTGAGACACTCGCAAGAAAAGAGTGGCTCCTGCACCCGCATTTTTGTGGCAAAAGTCTTGCTCTGGTGCCCAGCCCCATCGCTGGCAACTTTAAAAAATTAGGAGTGAAGCAGGACGAGCTTCCAAAGGCGGAGGCATTTTTGTTTATATAGCCTGAAGCAGGGTCTGCTGTTTGTGCTGGATGGTTAAACGCTTGCTGAGAGCCTGCAAACCCTGCTTCAGAGTTTACAGGGTTTTTTCAAGTAGCTTCTGAAATTGCAGCGTGGTGAATCAGAGGAACGACATTCGATATCCCTGCTGGTGCTCTGAAGCAAGGGATGTCAAATCCAGAGCAACAGCAGAGTCTGGAGTCTTCTGTCTGAAGACCATTTTAGATCTTTCCTAAATCTTGTTTTCGATCTTTTCTGATCTTTCCCAGAAATACCTGAGCAAGAGAAAAGGTAAGAAGTGGGTGATTTTCAAACACAAAACACATACACAAAGAGACTATGAGGAAGAGCTGCTTTCATTTTAAATAACGGGTAGCTACAAGATCTTGTGTTCAAGCCAGTGCTGCTCTGGGTGGGCAGAAGATGAGACTCAGACAGAGCTGGGTTTTGGGAGCAGGTATGGGGCTTTACATTCAAGCTGATGCAAATGATTTCTGTAGGGGTTGGTATTTCACTACTGAAACAGTCATCAGAAGTAAGCTTCGACATTGCACATGAAAGAGAAGTGGCCAGTTTTATTGGAAGTATTTATCAACAGGAAAGCAATGAAGCCTTGTGTGCGTCCTTGTCACTACTGGTCCATGTGGGGGTATGCTTCAGTCAAAGCTAAAAAGCCCTCTTTTGCTCGGGGTAGCCCCTCGAGCCGCTTGCACAGTCAAGCATCTTTGGAGGCAGTTTTCACGCTGCCTCCTTCTGCTCGCGTGTTTCTCCAAGATGTCTCTCTCCAAGTCCTCTGAGCTGCTGCCCTGCAAACTTTGGATACAGCAGAGCGGTGCTTGGTTGGGAGTTCAGTGGATTTTCTGTAACTGCAGCTACACAGAGAAACCAAAACCCATTCCCAGACTCACAGTTGTACATCCCCATGCTTCAGCACTAACTGGAGCAGCCGTCTCTGCCAACACCAGTGGAGTCCTGCCTCCCCTCTGCCTGCCGTGTCGTGTGCTGAACTAGTGTTGGATTAAAGTTGGTCTCGCATGCACCGAGAATAGTGCAGTGACTTTGCGCGCCTGACACCGGGTCAGTCATCGGAATGCATTTTTGTTCACTTCTTATCCCCAGGGCTGTGCTAATTTACGTGGGGGTAGCAGGTGCTCGCCAGTCCAGAAATCGCAGCCTGTCTGAGCACGTCTCTGTTCAGATGCTCCTACCACCACTGAGCTGGCTCTAATTATCAGTGTCTCCTCTGAAAGCAGAGCACTCAGCTCTCCTCTCTCTTCCTTCAGCTGCAACATGCTTGCACACGTACAAAGCAACCTGAGCTCTCAGTGATAGCACTTGAGTGCCACAAGCCTCCACTGCAATGCAAATAGGATAAAAGGCATTTTAAAGACCTACACACCATCTATTTTATTTCAGACCATACAGTTAGTGTGATCTGCTTTTCGGAAGGATTTATTTCTTCCAAAAGATCTTTGTACTCATACATCGAGTCCAAAGGCACCAGGAGAAGCTCAGCACCCAACTGCAAGGGCTGCAGGAGAAGCAGTCTGGAAGAACCTGCTTCCCAGTCTTCTTTTATGACTTCTGTCCAAAGCTTTGGATTAAGTGAAATGCAAGGGCAAATGATAACTAGTGGGGTCCTAAAACAACTCCTAAGGTCTCAAAATATGGTCATCCCTGTGGTCGTCTAACCGTAGGCGTGGATTGTTCATGCAAAGACAAAATTGAAAACAGTATCTTAGTGTCTGACTAAACTGACTTTTAACAATGTGGGAGATTTCTCTGTCTTTACTGATTTTGATGGTTTTAGTCAGGGAACAAGGCAGATGAGAACTTTTCTTATTAGCTAATTAACAGGCCTCTAATTTCCAACTCGTTTCTGAAAAGTCTGTGGATTGTTTGGGAGGGCTTTCTTCCGTCTGTTTTATGCAAGACTTCATCTACACCTTGCCATTCAGCTAAACGACTTTATGTCCTAGTTGTATTGAAGCATTTAAAGGCTTCTCACGATTAGCATCTTCATTCTAGATCATAAAATAATCTAACTGCAGAGCAATCAGCAGTTCCATTTTCTATGTTTGGGATAGTTAACCACAGTAAGTACTTACCATTAATTCTTTTTGGAGATAACATGTGGCTTAAGCTACCTACACAAAAAAAATACTGGGTGAAATGAAAAACTAGGCAATGTAAGGACAGTTTTAAGTGACAGACTTCCCTTATTTCTTGAAGCAGTACGCAGATAAAGCCTAGAAATAGATTTTGTGCGAACCCTGTAACTCAGGGGGCAAGTGAGCTCTGAGCACAGCAGCTCTTGCAGTCCCCCTGAGCACAGAAAACAGGAGCTGGTGTGACAGCACCATAAGCACACTCCACCCACCAGCCACGGGGCAGCCAGAAATGTGAGCCCGGCGAAGGCTGAGGCCACTGCCGGGTTGCTGCGGGCACCTCTTGCTCTGGCTCCTCTCCAGCACGCTCCCAGCAAGCGTGGGCTCGCTCTGGCGCGCAGATGGATTTGCAGAGCAGAACACATTTACAAGGCGTAGCACGGTTTTCAGACCTGAAAAAAACCAACCCAGCAGATGTTCAGTGCTTCTAAATTGTCTGTTGGCACGGTGTGCTGTGTCTTTCTAGTCTCTACTCCTTGGACTCAGGGCTAAGACAAGCCAGATTACATGAAATCCAGCGTCTTGGGTGTCTTTAGATGTACTGTAAGAGGCAAGGACTGAGGAACAGCTACCAGATGTAGGATGAATAAAACAAATCCTCTTACACATTTAAAACTATTATTTGAAGGTGATGAACTGTGTTCATGCCCGAGCTTGCAGTATTTCAACAACAAGAAACAGGGCTGGTCCAGGTTTCCAGCCCCACTATTCTTGAAGACCAGCCGCAAGGCAGCACCTGGAGGCAAGTTTTCCTGCAGTGCTTATGCAACCTCTGACATCCTTAAGACACTTCTGCAACGCCAGAGGAATCATCTCTCTCCTGACGCCTGTTGCAGTGCTCAGCTCAGATAATGGATTGAGATAACATCAATTTCTGCGCCCAGCAGAACCTCAAACCAGCCCCTAACTATGCACCAGATCTTCAGAAGCTGAACACCTCAGGCATATTAAATGACTAAAAGCTCCAAGCACACAGCTGTGATACCTTCTAGGCACAGAGAGGACTTGAAATACACAGTCATTTTCTTTGTGGGAATAGCAAGGTGAACTTTGCTTTCAATTTCAGCATTTAACACACGGCAAATACGAGATTCTCTGTAACTTGGGAGGAGTGTATTGGACCATTCATTAAGTTAAAGCACATAACACATGCAAAAAATACTAAGATAATATTGTTTCCAACATTTACACCCAACATTTACCAAGCTATCTCTAGAAGAATTAGATTAAACGGTTCATTCTGGGCCAAAATCTAATTGTGACTAATTTTTTCAGGGGCCACCAGCTTGGCAAAGAGCTTGGTAATAACCATGTCTGTGTTTCTGAAAGCCGTGACTGGGGAGTCCAAAGGTCTAATCCTGTCTCCATTGCTACCTTCTCAGATCCTTATCCAATGTAATAAGAAGAAATGACCAAGCCAGCTGTAGTAACTCTGGAGAAACCAAATCCTGGTTATCATTTGGGTCTGTACAAGTCCTGGGGGTAGTCACAACCTCAAGTTATTAAAGCCAGGATGTTGGTGCTAGTAGCTGCTGTTTGAAAGACATTTGTGCCCTGGATGAGCATCTTGAAAACGGATGTTTGGAAATGTTTTCGTGGTCATAGGATTTTGTTGCCAAAACTGATGCGTGTCACCCATACAAGCTCTCCTACCTGTACCCTTAATGCTTCTGCACTGCACTAGCCCAGGGAGAAGGCAGGACCCTGCTGTCCCCAGGAGAGAAGAGAAAGAGCATGTCCCTGCCGAGCAGTTTCCTTTCCCTTCTTTCTGCTCTGCGGAAAGAGCTGTTGTCCTGCTCTGGCTCTGTATCTCAATGCCGCTAGAAAAAGTGGAGGATTGGAGGAATTCTCCTCCTTTTGCCTAAGCCTTTTCCTGTGCTGTGGGCTACCTTCTCCTCTGCCTGCCAGAGGCTTCTGCCTACACCCTGGCCGCCATGCTTTGCCGTTAGGGGAACGCAAACTCTAGGCGGCTTTAGCAGCTTGGATGATGTTTCCTCACAGTCAGCATCCAGTGACAAGACAACAAAGACCGTAAGGACATTCCTGCAGGTGTCAGAAGTGCCTGGCTGGAAGCTTCCCAAGCAGGGAGCTCGGATGCCTAACGCTGCAGCTGTCCCTGCTCCTCCCTGCGGACCCGCACCTGCATGCAACTGGACACAGCACAGCCCTCTCCTCGCCTACAGCCCTTCAACACAGCTTTATTGACTTCTGGGCTCTGGAGTCCCACCCTCCGTGGCTCTGCGAGGGAAAAGCAACAAGCGCGCTTCAGCCATTTCTCCGCTGGCTGCTCCCTTCTGCCAGGGCACCACGGTCAAACACCCCCATGATGTCCCACTGTGATGTCATCGCTACACAGCACGGGTGTCACAGTGCCAGGTCAGAATATCCCCTTGGTACCCAGAGTCACCCGAGCCACTTGGGCTTGGCTTGCTGACTGGCAGGACAAGGCCAGGCTGTCCAGGGTGACGACCAGCGAGGGAACCTTCGGTCCACCTCGGGCAAAAGAAATGCAGGGGGAGCTCTCTCCCGCAGAAACACTGTCCCTGGCTGCTCCGGACGAGCTGGGGCAGTCAGCAGAGATGGAGTGGGATGGCCAGCCTGGCAGGGACGCACACAAGACCAGACGAGTCCCTGCTGTTTCCAGCGAGAAGGCAGGCGAAGGCAGTGGATTCTCATCTCTCTGCTTTCCCCAGAAGCTGTGGAAAATGGCGGAGAGCGACCAGTTCCAGTCCCTTTGGTGGAGTGAGGGTGGAAAATGCCTGGCCATCAATGAAGAGCTCTTCAAAGAGGAGGTGCTGGGCAGGGGAGGACCTCTGCGGGTTTTTGCCACACACAGCATGAAGAGTTTCACTCGACAGCTGAACATCTACGGGTTCACCAAAATGCAGCGGGATGCCAAGAGATCTGCCTCCCTGCCCGAATTCCTGGCAGAAGAAGCAGCAGCCTCCGCTCACAGCAAGGTACAGCAGTTGCTCTGCACATCAACCGACCCTCCCAATAGTCTTGGGGGAGAGACGGACCTCCCTGTCAGATAAGGCCTTGCAATGGAGGAGATGGGGGATGGCAGCCAGCGGCCTGATTTTCATTTTCTTCACAGGTCGTTTTCAGGAAGGTTTGAGTTAGTCTTTCTGACTAGTAGAAACGCAGATAAAATATAGTACTGATTTATCTGCTTAGTTTGAACCCGTTAAATGGAAAGACAGGCTCAGCATAGCCTGACTTCTCTGGATGTCTTTGCTATGTATCTTGCAAATCCGTCGTGGGGCACCTGCTAAATGCCGAGAAGATACATCGAAGGACCGTAGCATTACCTGCCTGCTCATAGCCACACTGAAGTTGCTCAAAAGGTGTGGGCTTTGGCTTTCAAGAGCAGTTCTCCAGCTTTTGAAGAGCCTACCCTGCTCTGCTCCCAGGTGGCAAAAACCCAGGGCTGATGATGCCTGAACAGAACCAGCACGTAATGGTTTAGCGTGAGCTTTAGGCTTCAAATGCCCCTGAGAGGGGCTCCTCCTCAACAGCCCTGCTCGTCCTCTGCACTCCAGAGTCCTTGTTCTCATAGCTTGGGGTTTTCCAGTCTTGAGATGGTGGCAACTGACTCTTCTCCCTTGCTTTTTTCAGATACTCTGCTACTATAACCCCAGCTTCACCAGGCAGCATCCCCAGCTGCTGGGAAAATGCAAGAGGAGGGTTGACATCAAACGGAGAGCCCCGGAGGCCCCACAGCGGGAGGAAAGGCCCCCGTCCAGAAGCCCGGACAGTCAGCCTGCGGGGGACACGCAGGCGTCTCCACCCACCAAGCGAAGGGCTGAAGCCCCTCCTGGGCTCGGCAGCGCCTGTCCATCTCCCCCAGCAGCTGCTCCCCCGCCCCCAG